TATATATATATATATATATATATATATATATATATATATATATATATATATATATGTATATATATGTATATGTATATATATATATATATGTATATATATGTATATGTATATATATATGTATATATATGTATGTTTATATGTATATATGTATGTGTATATATATATATATGTATATAGACAAAATATTTAAATATAAATTTAGTATATTTTTTCCTCAGGATATTTATAGATTTAGTGAACATGACAACAGATTTAAATCAATTTTGTAATATTAAATGATTCAATTTTTAAAGAGGAGCTCATTGAACTACTTTATTTTTAGCTATGATCATTGTCACTAAGAGAAAAATTCGACTTTAACAAGAAATGCCTCCTTAAAGGGATGTTCTGGCCATTTTTCTAGTTAATTTCTGTCAAATATTATCAATAGCAACTACTTTTATCAGCTTATCTAGCCTTTAACCTAACCTGGATGAAGACTTTTGCCTCTTTTTAACTGTGATCTGTGACAGATGTCTCCTGTGATAAGGTACAAACTAATGATCACTACCTTCACTTCAAAAATGACCAGACTATTCCTTTAAACTAAAGCAGACTATAAATAAGACTTTATTTATCTTTGCTTATTTGTACTCCTGTTTCCTTCTAGCTGGACGCAGACGATGAACCAAAGTTCGACGAGCGCGAGTGCCACGACGAGTACTCAGAGATGCACATGCCCGTTTAAAACCGCTGTGGACCACCAAACCATCTGAAAACCATCAGGTCAAAACCTTAAACACAGTGTTCTGGAGGTTCGTGGAGGTGTGTTTTTTTCTCTGCTGGTTTTTGTGGCTCTACAGAACAAAGTGAAGCGATTAGTTTATTGGTTAGTTCGTGATATTGTTGGTTTGTCTAAATATTTTTTGCAAGGGACAAGAGATTCCAAACCTAGTGACGTGAGCTCAGTTAAAAAACAAATTTAATAGTCGTAGATAGATTTTGCAAAACTGATTATTTTTTTTTAGCCCTGAGCTGTTGCTATGATTCACATTGAATATGTGGAAGAGAAATAGGATACATTCCTTTATTTTAACATGCTAACATGAGTTAGTGCTAGTCAAGTTATTTTTTTAAGCTCACCAAGCGCCTTACGAAGAAAACGAGATGTACCGAGCTGTCTGTTTTTTTCCTCATTCAGTCATTTTTTTTAGACCGTTAATCACTTTAAACGCAAAGCTTGTAGCACTTTTATAAAAGAAACCAAATCTGAACAATGACTGTGTAAAATTTAATTGTTTTAGCTTTTTAAAGTATTGACGTTGTAATTAGCGTCCTAAATGTTTTGTGTAGTTTTTTTTTTTTTTTACTCTGCTTTTCCTGATTCATTCGATGTTTTACGACTCTGTTGCTGCAGGTTGACTCTGATCAACCTGATCAGATTATGTGCCTGCAGTGACACAAGATCACCAGCAGAGGGAGATCTTGAGTCACTTTTATTATCCACCAAAAAAAAAATAGTTTCACTGTTACACTAATGTCACAAAACCATTTTTCTCATGACATTACTTATTGTTTTGTAAAAAAAAAAAAAAAAATGCATCGACTTAATAAATACACTCTAAATGTCTTTACGCACATGTTTAGGGCCCTAAAGGTTCTGGTGTAGTTTATATGTGGTTAGTTTCTTGGTGGTGCTGTAAATATTAGTTTCTTCTCGTGCCAAATGATGGTTGTGGTGAGAACAAGTTGCAGTTTAATCTTCATGTTTTTTTTTTATCATTCCACGTTTTAACGTGTTTTTAATTTTCAATTCAAATTTTTTTCATCATGATTAACCCAAACTTCCTGGGCCGTGAAGACAATCTTTATAGTTTATGGATTATTGCAAGAAAAGGCTTTTAGGATTATAAATAGGTGTTTTTTTAATTCATCATTTAGGTTATGCATAATGTTGCAACATTGCAACATGGGTTGGTTAAAGCTTTGACTGTGTCAAATAACTTATCATGTCCAGAGCTCTGTTACACTCACATTAGCTTAAATATCTCATTACTTTCCCCTCTGAGCTGCCCTGTCTCTGCCTGACTGAAATTGTGATCTTGTGCCTTTTTGGTGTCAAAGTTGCACAAAGTCTGAAGTGCCTGTTGGAGGGAAAGTGACGGGATGAGCTGCAAAGTGTGAGTTAAGATGTTACACTCAAAGCGAACATCTCTGAATTATTTATCTGTTGATATATGTTGCTGTTAGGACATTTTTTAAGTATATTACCTGTTTATTATACGTAGTCGGACGCTCTGCTTCGTTGCACTCGAGCAGTTCGGTGCCGCCTGTGTTTCTGATCATTGTGCCTGTTTATCCCAAAATAGGGAGTTTTATTTCAAAAGCAATACAAAGTCCTGGTAGCTATTGCTGATGTTCATTTGTGCATCAGTGGTTCACACATTGATGTCAAATAAAATATATTTTTTATTTACCTCATCTGACTCGTGTTTTTTTTTTTTTACTGTCAAATACGAAATCATAAAAAAGTTGGAACGCTTCGTTAATGTAATGAACAGAAAATGACTGTTTTAATGCGACGCTATGAGTAAAATGAAGTGTTAGTGTTCCCCATGTATTTATTTAATGCAGTTTACAGAAAATAAAATGTTTAAAAATCATGATTTAAAGACTGATATGAGACATTTTGCATACAAACACTTTACACTCTTACAGCTGAAGGAATCACAACTGCTGATTAAAACATTACTCTAAAATGTTTTGGGAAAAGTTATGATTTAAATATTTGAAACTGAATTGCTACAAATATCTTCAACTTAATGTTTACAGAATTGGATGAGCGTCATGCTTTGTTGAAGCAAGTTTACATCCTGCACTTCTAGATTAAATGGCTTATATTCATTATTTTAATCTCAAGTATTGACTGCATGTATACAGTACTTTTTACTACGCATTACTGTAATTCATCTCAAAAACATAATAAAACCCATAATCATTCAGAGAACAATGAATCAGAAATTGCAGTAAGAATGCCTAAAAACCACAAAACATCAGAATTTAAAACATGCCCAATAAAAAAAAAAAAGCTAAAAAAAAAAGCTGGGACATTGTGTAAAGTGTAAATAAAAATGGAATGCTATGATTTGCAAATTTCATAAACTCGTATTTTAACATAAAGAAACATAGATGTATCAAATGTTCCGATTTTTAGGGGAAGATCAAGTAATTTTGCATTTCATGCAGCACAACTTAAAACTGGGGCAACAAAAGGCTGCAAAAGTATTTGGTACAAATAAACAGCTGGAGAAGAATGGTGTCACAAATTAATTAAATTGTAAATTGGCAACAGGTCACAGAGGTCTGAGGTTTAGAGTGGCTGAATCTGTTCGGTCAACTTTATTTACACAAGTTAGTCTCGTTGAGCCTCGGGGACTCATTTACAGGAGACCTGTTTAAAGAAAACAGATGAGGTACAGACAACAATAGACAATCATATAAAATGAAAAGTAAATAAAAGATATGAAATCAAAACAAACAGCTACATTATAAAGTGGTGTAAAATGCTAAAAACAGGAACATGTCTGTGTTGGTTTTTGCCATGAACTTAGCAGATGTTTAAAATCCCTTAGAGAGGTCAAGGTCGAGAGCTTCAGATCTTTTCGCAAGATATTCCAGGAAACAGGAGCTGAGTAGGAGAAGAACTTTTTGCCTAATTCAGTCCTCACGGAGGGAACACTGCAGGTAATAATGTTCTGAGAGCGCACGCTGTAGCTGCACTCACGTAGTGACATGTAGGAGGAGATGTATGAAGGCAGCAGACCAAGAAGTGATTTAAAGATGAAAATGTACCAGTGAGAGAGTCTGCGTGAAGTTAATGAGGACTAACAAAGTCCATGCTCAATAATCTACGTATACAATCCAACATTTTTCAGTCAGGTCATCTGGACAGTTTCTTTTTTTGTGCTGAAACATTTCACCTTCGATCCGGAAGGCTTCATCAGACACAAAAACTGTCCAGATGACTTGACTGAAAAATGTTGGATTGTATACCTAGATTATTGAGCATGGACTTTGTTGTTTTCAACCAGTTTAACACGACTGTCAACAAGGAAGAGGGCCGGCAATGGAGGAGAGGGCGTGCCAAAGACACCATCTTAGCACCAACATAACTGGTTTGTTCCACTTTGGAGTAAGCTGTTGGGGGAAGAATCAGTTTTGTGTTGTGCGTTTCCTTGACTGATGAAGCCTTCCGGATGCAAGGTGAAACGTTTCAGCACAAAAAAAGAAACTGTCCAGATGATCTGACTGAAAAATGTTGGATTAATGATGACCAGTTTACCAGTGAGTACAGAGTGCAGTGATGGGTACGGTAGTTACAGCCAGTTGTGAATCTTAGCGCACCGTGATAGACAGCATCCAGCATCTGCTGGGTGCTTGTAGGAGCGTTCATATAACTGATGTCATCATAGTCAGTTTAGGGAAGGAAAGTAGAAGAAGTAAGGCATTTCTTAGCGTTCAGAGTTGGGATCTACATCTGAAAATGAAACCTAGTTTGAACTTTCTGTTTCTTTACCAAGTTTTCGACATGAGGCTTAAAAGAGAGATGTGAATCGACCAGAATACCCATGGGTATTATTTGCAGCCTCCACCACCTTCAGGCTCCTCTTGGCTCATTGAGGCCTCGTCGCTTGGACCTCCCCTGGACATGGCGGTGGTGGTCTCGGGGGATGCGCTGTGTGCCTCCTGCGGGGCGCAGACTGGGTGGTTCTTGCAGAAGTGTTGGTTGAGGATAGTCTGGAAGGGGAAGCTCTTCCCGCCGACGTTGCAGTGGAAGGGTTTGTTGCTGGTGTGCTTGCGGATGTGGTACTTCAGCTGGTCTTAGTGGGTGTACTTCTTCCCACAGATGCGACAGACAAATGGTGTGATTCCCATGTGCAAGCGCATGTGGCGGTCCAGGCTGCCTTTCTGGTTGAAGGACTTGCAGCACTAGATGCAGGTCAGCCGAGGGTTATAGCGGAACCAATGGTCTCCTACCTGCTCCCTCAGGTACTCCTCGTAGCCGCCCATATCAAATGCTGCATGCTCCTCTTCCGACAGGTAGAAGAAAACTATACTACAGATACCAGGTACGCACCATGTACGCATACGTACCAGTAATTAACTAGTATGTACACGCTTGTACGTACCCTGAAAGCAGGCACTGGGTACATGCCAGGTATTTTGTACAGGGTGCGTAACATTTTATTATTTTAGAAAATGAAAAAGAGACTGAAGTCTTGAAACCCTTATAAATACTTGCATGTATTTATAAGAATCTACAAACTCAATAGAGATACCAGTCGAAGATAACATAGAAGGAGGGACTGCTGAAACAGACTTCCTGTTTGAAAATAACATCCCTTTGGTTTTATCAGCATTTAGCACCAGTTTGAGACAGAACAAATCTGACTGGATGATGCCGAATGCAGACTCTAAAAGATCGAAAACCTTAGCAACTGTTTTAGGTTGCCAATGAACGTCTGCATAGAAATGTAAGGATGCATCAGGAATGGTCTACATTATTTATGTAGATTGTGAAAAGGGTGGGTCCTAATACTGAACCTTGTGGTACACTGTTGTTAACAGTTAGATAGCTGGAAGAAGTACCATTATGTTGAACACATTGCCTCTGATCTGAGAGATAATTAAAGAACCAACCAATGGTGTGATTTCTGAGAACTTATGACAGATTTATATTTTAACATACTGAAGCTTTTTATTCCTTCCAAGTTTTTGTCAAGCAACATTATCAAAACTCCAGCCTTAAATTTAAAGATGCAGCTGCACTTTTTTTTCTTATTTGTGTAGAATCTAACATTTGAACATTGAGAAAGGCAGCGAACGTTGGCTGTCACTGTAGCTCCACATCAAGGCATGATCAAACTTGTAACGGTTTGTTTTCTTCCAAGAAAAGCAGAGGGCTGGATGTTCCTTTGTGTTCAGAGCTGGAAGGTTCTCCTTCACCCCCACAGCTGCAGACGAGCAGGGAACGATGGCTGCCCAGCTGCTTTGGCTCCTAAGTGTTGGAGCGTTGCTCCTTCCTTCTGACGCGGTGACAGAATACGACAAACTGCCTGAAACCTACAAGAAAGGAGTGGATTTGGCCCTGGAAAAGGTTAACTCCCTCCCTGACATCCAGCTCCACTTCCTCTTCTTTGAAAGTGTCAAGAAGTCGACGTTTGAGGTACAGTTTGACAAGTCCCAAGTCAGAAATTCAGTCTATTATTATTATTATGTGTATTTTATTTGATATGAACTACTTCTGCATACGCTGTACTATTTTAGCCACTTATATATGCAAACAATCCTAAGGATTGTGTAAATTCTTTACTTTTAAAAATTATTACCTTTCTGTACAAACATTTTTCATCATAGATCTTCTCACTTCCTTCACAACCAGTTCCCTTTGAACTATTGGCTACTTTAAGCTTTTAGCCAGCCCTTTGCTTTTAGCTTATAGCAAGCTACATTTAGCTTCCAACTAGTGTTTTGCTACTTTTAGCTCAATTTCAGCTACTTACAGCAGTTATTCCTCACTCTGCAGCACATTTGACTCCTCTAACCCTTTATCATTTTCTGTATTATAACAGAATGAGGGTTCTTGTGAGGAAACCTCTTCCTGAAGCTCATGTTCCAAATGTTTGATGCAAACGACTAAAAGTCCTGTCTCTCCTCAGCCTGGCTTTGGTGTGAGCTACATCAACCACCACTTCTACCTTAAAGCCACCAACTGCCTGAAAGGAACCGTCGGCTCGAGGTGCCACTTCAGGAGAGACAGGGTGAGTGTGATCTGAGGTGACGAGTGTGGAATGTGAGGCTTGTCCCAACACATCTGTTCTGTTTGTGTGCTCGTGCAGCCGCTCATCGACTGCGTAGCCTGTTACAAAACGTACAGAGGAGAGATCGAGCAGGAGCCTGAACCGTATGTTGACTGTGTCAAGAAGCCGACCCTGACCCAGGTGAAGCTGCTCGTTACTCTATGAACTGTTTGGCATTTCTTTACAACTGAATGTTGCTTCTGTGTGAACTTCTGTGTGAACTTCTGTCTGCCCGCAGGAGATGACGAGCGCCAGAGATGTTCAGTGCAAAGCGGTGGGATACAACACTGGATCGATAATGCTGCTGTCGTCCACTAGAACGAATTAAAAACAAAATTTTAACGTATTTTCATCTTTGCAAGTTAATTTTTCTGCATCTCATGCTCTGCAGAACCTTTATACACACATGGTTATAAAACGCTGAGTTTGACTAACAAAATAATGATAAAGCTCATGGTTGTTGCGTAAAAACTGTCACTTTTTAACGAGGTTTTGTCTCGACTGATTTTGCTCATTCTTACTGTATATCATTTCATCATTAAAATTCAGACAAACATCTACAGCGTGTGGCATGTATTTTGTTATCACAGACATTTCCAAAAGGAACATTTAAACCCAAGGCCTGTTGATAAACAATAAATCAATTAATCGCATGATAAAAGAAAATGATCAACCTCATTTTCATTTATCGGCTTTATCATTTCTTCGTCTCTCTCTTTCTACTGAAGACACTGGACGACAAAAACCTCATCTCCAGTGCTCTTCACTGACCCCTCCCTTTCTCTTTAAAAGGGGACCCTCCGTCTTTTCAAATCTCCAAAATTCACGGTTGAAACTCGTGTCTTCATGTAAAAAAGTTATTTTTCTCTGCAAAAAGAAGCTGAGAACTTGTTTACGGATTTATTATTAAAAACTTTGTGTGAAATATGCTATGCTAAAGAGCTCAAACCACACCGAGCATCCGCCATTTTGAGAACTGAAGAGAGACAACTGTCAAGGGGCCTCCCTCCCTTTTTTGTTAGAGACACGCTGCTTGCTCCCTCAATATCCATCCTTCGGTCAAAAAGTCTTACACTGCAATCTGGTGGTCAATAAAAGGTACTACACACAAAACAAATTCAAAATTTCTTCTTGGCATCTTCTTCTTGGCCTGGCATCGGGGTAAATGACGCCATCATCTACCTCAGGCACCGAGCTCTGACCCACCTGGAGAAACCTGGAAGCACTGTGAGGATCATGTTCTTTGAATTCTCCAGTGCTTTCAACACCATCCAGCCAGGACTTCTGCGGGACAAGCTGGAGTTATCAGGAGTGGATCACCACATGTCCCAGTGGATACTGGATTACCTCACTGGACGTCCACAGTATGTGAGGACACAGGGCTGTGTCTCTGACATGCTGGTCTGCAGTACGGGGGTCCCACAGGGAACTGTGCTGGCACCGTTCCTCTTCACCCTCTACACTGCAGACTTCACCATCAACTCCCCACACTGCCATCTGCAAAATTTCTCTGATGACTGCCATAGTCGGCCTCATCACAGCTGAGGACGACTCGGAGTACAGACAGTGGACTCAAGACTTTGTGGACTGGCGCCAGCAGAACCACCTCCTGATCAACGCTGCTAAAACTAAGGAGCTGGTTGTGGATTTCCGCAGGCACAGGTCCACCTCACTGACCCCGGTGAACATCCAGGGAGTGAACATCGAGATCGTGGACTCTTGCAAGTACCTGGGTGTTCACCTGAACAATAAACTGGACTGGTCTCACAACACTGATGCACTTTACAGGAAGGGTCAGAGCAGACTCTACCTGCTGAGGAGACTGAGGACTTTTGGAGTGCAGGGGGTGCTCCTGAAGACCTTCTTTAACTCGGTAGTGGCATCAGCCATCTTCTATGGTGTTGTGTGTTGGAGCAGCAGCTTATCATCAGCTGAGAAGAAGCAGCTAGATAAGCTCATCAAGAAGGCCAGCTCTGTGCTTGGATGCCCCCTCAACCCAGTGCAGGTGGTGGGAGGCAGAAGGACTCCAGCTAAAATAACATCATTGCTGGACAACGTCTCCCACCCCATGCATGAAGCTGTTGCTGAACTGGACAGCTCGTTCAGTGACGGATTCCTGCATCCTAAATGCACAAAGGAGCGTTACCGCAGGTCTTTCCTCCCAGCAGCTGTTACTCTACAACCATCACTGCTCCCAACAAACTCAGCAAGGATTAAATACATGCTGACCTCTGCTAAAACACACACTCTGCGTGTAATACTGTACTGTCAATAATCTGTCCTTATCGATGTTCAAACACTTATTTAACATTATTATTGATATTGTTTATCTTATTTCTTTATATATTGTTTTTAACATTTAGGAACTTTTGTGTGAAATCTTTATCTGTTGCTGCTGTTACACTTGAATTTCCCATCCGTGGGACAATAAAGGCTGTTTCTATTCTATTCTATTCTATTCTATTCTATTCTTAAATTTGACAATAATTGTCAAATTTCAAACAATATTATCGTTTATCGCAATAATTTTTGAGACAATTAATCGCCCAGCAAAATTTGTAATCGTGACAATTAATTTGCTTAAAAATATCAAACTTTTTTTTCTTTATCTCTGGCTGCTGCAGATTCATCATATAAAACTGCAGCAGCAGACTAAAAGGACATTTTCTGCATGAACTTAACTGGATAATTAAACTCTAAATACAGGTCCTTCTCAAAAAATTAGCATATTGTGATAAAGGTCATTATTTTCCATAATGTAATGATAAAAATGAAACTTTCATATATTTCAGATTCATTGTACACCAACTGAAATATTTCAGGTCTTTAATTGTTTTAATACTGATGA